GTGGAGCATGTTCAGTGAGATGAATACTGGTGTGCCCTCTTTGACTGCCTCAGCCTGGAGTGTTGTGGAAGGAGAGGAAATGCTGGAGTTGTTGAGGACGCAACGGTGGCTTGTAAGAGCTGATATTGCATCGATGCCAGTACCGTCTGATACCATCCGATGTGTGGTCCTCTGTGGTAAACTGCAGCGGTTTTCTCTCTCTCGACGCGGTTAGAGTAAACCTAATGTACTGATTCCTTCTCCGACCACGTATTGAAACGGAAGCTGCCATTACCACGTGCAACCACAGTCTTCATTCTCCGCAGTCCACGAGACTTTGTACGTGCGATGTGTGTGCTGGCGAGAGGCCCCCATCTCGCCTCATGACCAGAGCTGTCCTGCTGCGTCTGCAAGACGGCTCCACCTGCACTGGAGTAGTTCTTCTGTGAAGACGAGGGCTTGCGGTGGACCTCCGCCTCCCGGTACCGCGTCTACAGTCTCATTAGCTGACGGGGCGGAAATGAGGTTTCATACCAAACATGCACTGAAGTGCCTTTATGGTACATCAATGTGCCAGTATAATGAATTTAGTGTACAAAGACGGAACTACCATTTTTTGCTTTACACCAATTTGCATACATAGACCATGCAAGTCTACACAAAGTACAGGCATTACAACCAAAAAGAGGTTGGAATTAACAACTACTACAGCAATAAGTATCACCTTAGCCTGGAGAGTTCCAGGGTAGAGTGGGGTGTGAGGGACTGGAGTCTGAGGCAATCAGTTGTCCTCTAGTCCAGCAACTTCCTCCTCCTTGTTGCCAATGCCTCACTAAGTCTGCAACCTCCTCTCCAGTGAAACAACAACCGAATTACACAACACTCATATTGACGGGAGTGAGCGAGCCCACCTAGTCCTTTGTTTGGCTAGATTCAGGACACATTCTTCACGATATGCACGTCTTTTATTACTAAGAAATATCTGTTCTAAGCTAGGTACTAAGACACACTATCGCCGTAGTTTGCACAGAAGCAGGTGTAAGGTGCTTGGACTAATTAGGATAACATATTCATGTGACTGGGAGAAATTTCCCATACACACCACTGTGTCACATCACTACTTACTCTGTCACGAGAAGTCTTCTTTTGAAGAGAAGTGATTTGAGTTTGGAGTCCAGAAACTGATGGCTTGGAGCTGCTGCTTTTCCCTCTGTGCCTCTGACACTGTCTCTCTTTGCTTCTGCAGAGGAGCAAACACTAGTTGGGCACCACACCACCAGTACCATTGGGATGGAATTACTGTACATGTGTATTTGGTTTGTCTGTCTATGTGTGTTTTTTCAGGCTGTCGCACAAGCTCAACTGCCAGCACAAGGACCATAGCACCCACACTATAGCGTTCCTTTTACTATGTGCATAGTACTGTACTTGCAGTGTCAGCCTGCACACACATAATCTCTGAGGTAGCTTGCAGCTGATGTAGTTGTCTTCTAAGTTGGTCCAACTCCAGTTTTGCCTCACAGTCTCCTCTCCAGCTCTACTCTCTCCCTCAGCACGGAGACTAGATACTGTACAACAATGATCAAACGTACACACGTCTATCTTAGTTATAGCTAATTACATACTTTTACTACGTATCACTGCAATTCATTTAGCGATACTTTGCTACACTGCCAACATTCATGATGATATTCAGGTTTGTAGTACATTCGAATGCTGATTGTACACAAAGTGGCTGAGACACCAATAAATCACAACCACACAGACAGTATGTCGCGATCCAACACAAATCACAGCTCACCATGCTCTGTATAGGAGGAGATGTGCTGTTGATCAGTCTGGCAGCGGCTCTCGTGCTGCAGCTCTCCCTGGACCTTGGCCGGGCCACCTCTCCTGCAGGACTCTGTCTAACCGTCTCTGTCGCTCCCTCTCCTTGGCCGCGAGACTGGAGCGAAGCCCACCACCATCCTCCGCTCGTTTCTCCAACAGCTGACTGTAGTGCTCCCCCTGAACAAGAGAGGACTTTGTACTATGTACACAGTATGAAAAGCGCAGTGGAACATCTCTCTGACATAATTTGTAATGTGCAGACAATCTGCTGTGATTTGTTACACTACATAGGGGCTAAATTCAGAAAGATGGAACTTAACAATAGGGCCCAGTAAAGAATGCTTACATATTCCTTTTTATACAGCGTGTGTTATAAGAATGTATCAGAATTTGATCACGGCTGCTGAGATGGTCCTACTCTGAGCTCCATGTATACTATTACCTCCTGACTTAAGTATATGCAATGAGAACTACCTGTTCTCTGTTGTCAGCCTCCAGAGACTGCAGGAGTGCCTGTACCCTGCCCAGCTCGGCATCTCTCTCCCCCCTGTGCCTCCCCTGCCCTCCTCCCTCTCTCTAGCTCCCTCTCACACTCCTCCAGTCTCTGTCTCCTCTCTGCCGCGTCAGCCCCCCTAGCTTCCTGGGACTCCTCCAGCTGGCCCTGTACCTCTGACAACCGGCCAACCATCTCATCCTTGGTGGCCCTCTCCACCTCCAACGCTTCCTGGATACCATGACGACAATCCTGTTACGTAACCACATGTGAATACTAACTTAGGAGGGTTTGTACAATGTGTCGGATACCATTATAGTTATATTTAGGCAGCTACAGATACTTACAGATTGCATGGGTGGAACATTTTCTAGGCAACCTACAAGTTTTATGCCCTAGTATATCCAGTATATAATGCCTTAAAACCAGGTAAAGAAGTTAGTTATCTAAGCTGGTGATAGCTAGGCAAACTTTTCCTAGCCCTTTACTATAATTTATGCCTCGATTCTGGTAAAGAAGTTAACTTTTCATGCCCTAGTCTATCCTTGTACATATGCCTTCAATGTGGTAAAGAGGTGTCAGTTTGACTTGCATTAGCTGTTGGGAAGTAGAACATGCACCTGCAGTGAAGCCAGTGTTGCCTGGTGTTGCATGTGAGTGCTGCCCCGTCGCTGTCCCATCTCTGACTGGGACTGAGTCAGCTCATGAAGAGCTTTATCCAACTCTGCCTCCTTCTCTTTCGAAGCTCTTAGCTCCTAGAAAAGAGAGAATCATGTTTTGTATAGAATATATGCACATTTGCCAACTGAGAACGTAGCGCATGGCAAATATAATTGTAAGGGTATAGTAGTAGCAAATGATGTTATACTACTGAATGATATCAGGCTAGACTATCTCCACAGAGCTGAGGGGTTCTCAAAACCACACCATAGACCAGTGCTAGAAGTCAACCTGGTGTAGGGAGGAGATGGTGTGAGTGGATCGCTCCAGAGAGCCCTCTGCCTCCTGGTACTCCGCCAGACGAGACTGGGCCTCCTCCAGGTCAGAGGTCACCGATTTCAAGAGTCTCTGAAGACCTTTGACCTCTGTCTCCAGCTGCGAAACTGCGGCTAGCTTCTCTCTCTCCAACTGAGCACCTCGCGAGGACTCTGCCTCCACAGATGCTCTGAAAAACAACACATGAACACACACTAGTCTATGCACTCAGCGGGCATGAAGGGACTGTCATCACTGATTTAGCTTTAGGTTTAGCTTATGCAAGAAGTACAGTAATTTAGGACAACGAGAGAAGGTTCAGCTTAAGATGGTTATTTCAGGTGAAACAGTTGTTGCGTTTAGCTTAGGTGGATAAAAATTCAGTAGAGTTTAGTTTAGGTGGGTGGAAACATATAGATTAGGGGACTGAAACTAATTGTTGCCTTTTGCAACCCTCCTGGTTGATAGGCTATAAAGTAGCTAAGCCGAGCTATTACAAAACACATATTAGTCTGGTGCACTATTTTCACCTTTGTTGTGCATTGATTTCACTTTGGTGCCGTAAGCGATGTTCTGCATCTCTTACTGCATGGAGAGATACACATGGTACAGTTCATGGTACACCATGTTGTTCTAAAATGCACACTCACATTCGATTCTCAACTGCTCATTCTCTTCAAAGACTTTCTGGGTTTGAACTGATACACCTTCAGACTGTGGACATAATTATACACAACAGCAGTGGACAGTATAACAAAACATGTATAATTCATGTGCCAACAACTACGTAGGTCTCGAGGCAAAGGCAAAGGCAAACCAAACAACACGACGATACCCTGGTCAACTGAACTCGCACGTATCCCATTCATTCTCTTTCGATAGCTTTTGTATGCATGTTGTTCATAACATAAATCGCTGCTAACAACCCATATACTATAGTGATGTACTACAGTTGAAGCACCTGTTGTTGTAGTTGGGTCTGGAGGGAAGCAATGGTGTCTCTGAGAGAGTCGGTGTCTCTGGCCAGAGCCTCTCTGTCACCAGATATCAACTGAGTCAGTAGATCACTCACTGCTGACAACTGCAGACAGAGAGGTAGCATAGTGCTCAATTCTTGAAGACAACATTTCAAGCGATACAGATTATGTAGTGTGAGCCAAAGATTAACTTTGTATGCAGAGTCCGACTAGTTGTGGCACTACTAGACATCACTCAAAACACGGAAAATACTATGGGGGATGACTTCAGAAATGGTAGCCAAGTACATAGCTACACTTTCAAATGAAAAGCACTAAAGTGCAAACCATCGGCGCACTAGACGCGCGCGGATGTCTGCATTGCGCATGTGCGGGTCGGTACCGCTAATTGATGGACTGGGCTATGCTACTCGTGTCGTAGTCTCTAGCTAACTCTCTGAGCGTTAGGTAGCGTCTTAGGCATAGCAATACTCGACATTCGCCCTCTGTGGTGACTTCTGTTGCCTCCACGGCACGCGAACAGGCGGAATGAGGCAAGCCGGTGGTAATTTGCATATTGGCTTTTTCGCTTTTGTTTCACACCATAACTCTCAAACACAGCAGTTTCAGGGAAAACCCTACATATATTTTTCCTACTATACCCGACGCTGAATACATGGTATAGTTTGTGGAGCGATTCATGGTGTCGAGGTTCGGACAGACAGACAGACAGAGCAACTACCGTAACCCTCGCTGCGCATGCGCGCCAAGGGTAATAACTTTTGCATGGTTGTTACATAGAGACCTGTTGGGGAAGTTGGGTGGCGTTGCCCTGGTCGAGAGAGGAGAGTACAACAGTCAGCTCCTGTACCAGTCTCTGAACTGCCCCCAGGACACCTACCATCTCATCCTCACCACGCTCACCAACCTATGTACATTCAGTAGAGCAGATTGTAGACAGTACAAAGAGGGAAATATTTTATACTAGTGTGCATACAATATGCACATCTGGCAAGAGTGTAACCTGTGTACAAGTCGCTTACATGATTGTGCATGCAAATGAAGTGCTCTGCATACATTGTTTACCATTTGTACTGCGTAGAACATAGGGGCTCAATACTTGCAGAGGTACGTTTGTACACATCACTCCACTCACCCTCTCAGAGAGAGCTCCCACTACTTGACTGAGACTGTTGACTGCTGCCGTCAACTGCTCCACACTCAAAGGAGGTAGCTGTTTGCAAAACCGATGGCAAAGAGTAAGAAGCTAATTCTTGGACAGGCAATGAACTTTCTCACGCTTGCATCTCACAGTTAAACACAATAATGCTGTGTGGCGGAGTACAGTATGTATACGCTATGCATGATGGGGTTATCCATAAACTGACTTGTTTTTGGACAGTTGGTTGACAATGTGTGCCTACTGGGAGAGGACTCGGGACAGATCTGCTATCCTCCTCAGAATAGACCTCGAACCACTCTTTTCCAGCAGCACTGAGAGCAAACATCACAGAGAGTTAAGTGTGTTTTTTTGAGTTTGAGAATGCACTTTGTCACACATTGAAAGCAGGGTTTTTCTAATGTCACACAAAAACTATCCATTGGATTCACACCAAACCAAGACCAAAGGAACAGGAGATTAAAGAGCTACAAAATGGTACTAAGCACTGCACAATTGGTAAAGGGTAACGAACATGCGTTCTCAACGTGAATCGACTATAGTACGCATTTGCTCAAGAAAACTTCCTGTTCACAGGATAGGCAGTCTTACTTGTGCTAGTACTGGAGAGAAGGGAGATAGCCGATGAGCTGCTGAGTTGCTGCACACCCTCCTCCTTTCCACCAGCCAACACCTAAGCCTACAGTATGAGACAAAAATGTTACGTTACCCTACTCTACCAGATAACAACACTACCCTAACACTACCCTCCTCATCCCTTACCTAACTTGTATCACACGCTATATTGACGGTTATTGTATAATATCGTGACAAGGTGCCTTGTGCACCTGTCCTTGTTAAGACTAAGATTTGAATCACGAAATGTGACAAAAAATGACCAGAAAATTTTGTGACTCAGAAACACAAGTGAAAACAAGATGCTGCCTAACCTGACTAGTGGCAGTCTGTGCTCTCCCGTCTCCATCTCCTGTCTCTCTAGACCTCAGCTGGGCCCTGGTCTGCTGGAGAGCCTCTGTTCCTGGTGAGACCTAGCCAGTCGCAGTGCCTCCAGCTCTCGATCTGCAATCAATCAGCATCGTATTACCACATCAAATGCTATCCTCTGCAGTTGAACCTCTGATAAGGGAACCTCGGAGATAGCGACGACCTCTCTACAATGGACACTTGTTTAAAACCAGTTCTACTTTAGCGAGGGTTGATGACACAAAAGTCTTTTACAGCCTAGAACGTACTTCAGCGTGTATCTTCACCTTTGCTGGTGAGTGTGTCTCTGAGAAGAGTGATGTGATTCTCAAGAGATCTGGACACTCTTGCTGCTGTAGCAACTCTCTCTGCAGCTTGGACACCTATAGCCATACATGTAATACCAACAGTCAAACAACTCTCACATGCAAAGCGGATAGCTTCGAAAATAATAATAATTATTATGTGGTAATTTGGGGGGACTCCCCCTTGGAGTTTAAGTGAAACTTTTAAATTCACACCAACACAGGATGTTCCCTTTCTCTATGTATTATCCCACTTTGGATTAATGATAGCTTGCATGTTTCAACAACAAGGTGAGGTAGAAAGGCAAAACAAGTCAACTATACCCAGGACCACTCTTTTCCTCCAAGGAAAAAGGATGAGCTGCCCTGGGTGGGATTCGAACCAACAACACTCTGATCTCTAGGCATTCTTACTTCCACTAGATGCATACGAGCCACCCCATGCAGCAAACCATTTCAGGAGGTGATTTCTCAGGTGACGGAGGAGTGTCTTCCTCTTCCTCACTCTCACTCCTATCGTCCTCCTCCTCCCCCTCTCCCTCCCCCTCCTCTCTCTAAGCTGCACAGCAGCGAGAGACCGTACTACATCGAACGGCATCAACATTGAAACTGCCACACACAATAGAGCAAGGACATCTTGCAGCAGCACCACGTGTAACCAGACACACAGCCATGCTACAATATTATTATGGTGCCATACACATATTACAGCTCCCAAACTTGCAGGTACAACTGAAGACAAAGATACACAGTGTGAATGTTACTTTAGTTTCGTGCATACCAACTGTCTACAATTTAAGATTTAGCTAATACAAACAGTATATATGTACTGGGTTGTTTGGTTGAGGTTCTCCTGGGCCACCTGTACCCTCTCCTGCAGAGCGTGGACGGTGGCTGTCTGCTGTCGGAGGTCAGAGGTCAGCTGGGCCTCCTGCTCACTAAGTTCTCGTATCCTCGCGGCCTGATCTTCAGAGGATGCGGCCTGAGAAGAGCCAACTGGTGCTCCACATCCCCCAGTCTCTGTCGCAGCTCATCTCTCTCGGCAGTGAGGCCCTCCTGGGCCTCTCTCTGAGCACACACAACCTCGGCTCGTACAGCCTCCAGCTCTCGAACCTCATCCTCCCTCTGTCTCAACTGGGCCTCCAGTTCCCTCTGTCTATCCCCGGTCTCAGCCTCGACTCGACGCAGCATTCCCTCCAGGGCCACCTGTAGCCTGGCTAGTCTCTTGTTCTCCTGGTGCATAGCCTCCTTCTCGTGTACCGCTCCGGCACAGTTCCTCTGGGCTGCCTGCAGCTCCTCCTGTAGCTGGAGGATCTGAGAGTCCAGCATCTGGACCCGCAGTTGGCACTGAGTCTGCAGTGACTCCAGAGTTTGTTTCTGGGCCTGGATACTGTCCCTTGCCTCTCTCAACTGCTCCCGGGCCTCCCTGTCGCCCTGCTGCATAGCTGTGAGGGTTTCCTGAGCTGCCAACAGCTGTTGTCTCAGACTCTCTACCTCAGTCTTGGCCTCTTCAGTCTCACTCACCACTCTCTGCAGTTAACAAGTACACATCTTCTTAATTGTGGAGAAAACTTGATGCAAGAAGTCCAAAGCTACCCGTAGTGAGGGAAAACTGTCTTTGATAAGTTACCATGTAGCTGAATTAAGAAGTGAATGAAGTGGCCGAATGCACAAGACTAAAGGAGAACCAAAATGTCTATATCCTACTTGCAACACTATTCACATACGTACTTGCAAGCTGTTCATTCAGGAAATAATCTACATACGTGGTATACAACCCTCATATATTCATGCAGTACGTATAACCCAGAGGAAAGACCAAAAGAGGGTGTGGTAATAGTGTGATGAACCAGGAGGTTGTCTTGAGCAGTGGTCACCTGTTGCAGAGTGTCAGTCAACCTCTCATCTCTAAGTCTGACCTCTCTCTCTAACTCTGACACTCTCTGCCCCTGAGACTCCTATACAATCACACAATGGCTCAAAACAGCACTAACAGCTGCTGTAGGCAGTACTGCAGTAAAAGAGGGTGGGCCTGCCTGACTATTGTTATGGTCCCACTTCTCAGTTAGCTAGATTCATGCTTCTTGAATGTCAATTCTGTGATTACACAGCTCACACGCAAAAGCTGAGGACTCAAGATAGAGCCTTGTGCCAATAATTATGTGGTTCAGTGCAAACATGCAAACACATTTAGTTCTATACAGGTGCACCAATTTGCTTCAATGTAATATGAAATATGAGCAGTGTATTATGCGACATATTATGTATGTATGTACCTGAGATAAGGCAGCTTCATTCCTCTCTGCAGTGGAGACAACCAACTTACGATGGTAATCAGCAGCCTGAAATACAAGTATATAAGTTCAACTTAACACCGCCAAAAAGAATGGCATTCATAGATGTTGGTTAAAATATCAGAGGGTAGAGTAGAGTAGGGTAAAGGCATTGAAGTTTTTGTGACTCATACTGTAAGAGATCTTGGTGTTCCTAGCACACTAAACATTATGAGCGAGCCTGTTCACCTCGGCAGCTACAGTGATGTAGCGCTGTAGCAGTGCACTCACAACATCATGTAGGTGTGACAGTCCTTCTACATAATGACAATGGGAAACAGTGCACAACAAACACATTGTGTATTAGTAAGGAGGGGATTAATAGTGGAGCTCCTATAATCTGGACACCAATGAAAGTGTCTATTTACCATCTCCATAGAGCGTGCACAGTTTCTCTGACTGCCACCCAACCTCAACCAACCCAATAGGCTAAGTGGAGGTTACAAAGGAGAAGCAGCCTATAACTAGAAAGGTGTTTGCAGGCTTAAACGTGTCAATTCCTATTCTAGGGGTGTCCATAATAGACGGGGTATATACCTTGATTAGAATGGAGGGGCATAAAAGTGGAATTACTTCACCAATGCAAGTTTATTATTAGCGAGGTATCCTTTTTTGAGGATTAATTGGGATAGAAGGTGTCCATATAAGAGAGGTGTCTTTATTTGAGGGGTGTCTTTATTAGAGAGGGTATGCACACCTTGAACAGACGGTAGGTGAGAGAGGTTGAGTGGGAGAAGGGACTGGTCCAGAGCTGACACACTCATGAGGTCAGTCTGGAGGGCCAGGGAGGAGGAGAGAGGAGGAGGATGGTGGGTGGAGTGGTGAGTGGCGTCCAGGAATGACACTGACAACATCCCCAACTGAGGCTGGTCATAACTGATACCTGGAAGTTGGACACATACACATACATAATGACAGGGATAAACCTACCAGAACAGCAAACATCAACAAGGCTGCAAGGCTGCAAGGCAAAGCAATTCAACTATACCCAGGAACACTCCTCCTTTTTCCCCCATTGAACCAGATCAATCAGGTGCAGAAAGTGGTAGTATCAGGCTGATAGAGCGATTTATAATCTGAGAATGGTCCTGGAGAGAGACGGCAGTGTCATCGAGAGGGAGGATGGTGAGGTTGGAGACCTGCTAACATCTGGGTCTCATCTGAGTCTTCCACAATTGGAGTCGCCATCAGCGTGGCTAGAGAGAGGTGTCATTACATTATTCACTGGCTAGGAAAAAGTTGTATACACAAATAACAGGATCCTTGAGTAGGGAGTTTGTATGTTGGTACACAATTATGATATTGATGATAGGTAGCTACACACACGAAGGTTAGAAACCGGGTCATGCACACCCTTTGTTGCTTGCCATACTAAACCTCACCTTCACTGTTGGCCACACTGACTTGCTGACTGGCCAGTCCACTGTCATCACTGGGAGTCTGTGGTCGTGTGGCTCCAGAGTTAGGTACCATGTTGTTTGCTGGAAAGAGGAAATCACGAAAGTGAAACCAATGAATTCAGAGATTAATCACGCATATGTGTTGATGTGGGCACAAAATACAGTTACATTTGGGAAAACAAGTAAATGCCCAAGAGTTTTTACATAGCCAACAGAGGATACCGAACACATACAACACCCAGGCAAAAACAAGAATCAGCTACAGATAGCAACGCGGAGAAAGAAAGGAGTCGTTTGTTGGACAATGGCAGTTAGTGCTACTGACAATGACATCAGTGCTGTGGGCACACACACTCAGTCAGTCCCAGGAATCAGCAGTAGTTCTCGTGTTAGACTCACTCACAGACGGAGGAGAAGGTGGCTGTTTCGTAGATCTGGCTCTAGCAACACCATCATCATCTTGGCCTGGATGTTTATCATGTGTTGCTCTCATGTCCAATAGCTAGTCTACTAGCAGAGGTTGTTGTTGGTCGATACAAATTCATCAGCTACACCTTAAGAGCACAGTGGCTTCTTTCTGTCGTTGGTTCAGTAATCATTGTAGGTGAATACTACCTACCAACAAATATCAGTAGCACGTCACAAGAGATTGGCTACTACCCTCTGGGAATACCTGCTGTTGCATTCGATGCAGCCTTAATAGCTGTAGCAATTCCACTAGGTTTAGGGTGGCTGGCATGTCAAACACCAACATAACTGCATTCATTGTTACCCTCGGCGCGCATGCGCAGCGAGGGTGGGTTTGTCTGTGTGTGTGTCTGTTACTCTCAATCTCACTTCTAGAATGTCTGTTCATCTCACAAACGATACGACCTACTTAAGGGCAATGAAGGTCAGAATGTACGAACGGGTTTCTCTGAAAATGTTTCGGTCGGCCATTTTTATCGCTGCGGTAAATGCGCATGCGCTTATATTTTGAACAGGCTCGGGTCCGCCTGCTCTGTGTATCTTGAAGGTCACAACGAAGGGCGTGTATCGACTCCCACATGCTATGTACTTCTGTAGCTAGCCCCCCGTGTCAGACGCTACTAGAGGGAGACCACGAGTATACTACATACTAATAGTAGCACAGCCCATCGTTGGTTCAGTAATCACTGTAGGTGAATACTACCTACCAACAAATATCAGCAGCACATCACAAGAGATTGACTAGCTACTACCTTCTGGTAATACCTGCTGTTGCATTCGATGCAGCCTTAAAGCTGTAGCAATTCCACTAGGTTTAGACCAGGTGGCTGGCATGTCAAACACCAACATAACTGCATTCATTGTTTGGTCCTGGTGGACAATTTTTACTGGATACACCACTGCAGACATCCTTGCGCCACTGCTCAGCAATTGCACGAATATTCAAGAAAATTAAGTCAGTATTATACTATCACTGCTGCCAGTCGTACTGCTCTCTGTGGGACTCATTTTGGACTTTCATTTCCACCACAAACTGGTGAAAGAGCCAGTGACTGTCAATCCAGTGAGTCTTATTTTCAAAGTCTTGAAATATGCAGCAAAGCACAAGTATCCAGTTCAGAGAAGTGCCTTCACATACTGTGAAAATGAACAGCCAACAAGACTGGACTATGGCAAGTCAAAATATGGTGGACCTTTCACCACAGAGCAAGTGGAGGATGTTAAGACCTTCTGAGAGTTTTTCTCGTCATACTGGTGATTTCTTTGCTATTCACACCAATACACTCAGTTCATGAATCATGTAATATCCTTGAAAGTAATTTTCATTCAGAAAGTCTACCCTACTGTGTACACGACTGCATTAAAAGGTGCATTTACATCAACTTCGTCGTATATTATTCCACTGTATGATCTACTCATCTACCCATGTCTGAGAAACCGAGGTCACAGCATCCTCCAGTCTGCTGGAATTGGAGCTGCAGCAATAATTGCCTCATCATTGTATGGTGTGATAGTAGAGTCAGCAAAGGAAATGTCAACCAATAGCACTACCGAGTGTTTGTCACTGAAAATACGCCCAACAATTCAATCGTAACCATCCCACTACTCTTTACAGTGGCACTAGCAATAATACTCGTGAACAAATCAAGAATAGAGTTAATATGTGCACAGGCACCATACAATATGAACAGTTTTCTTATAGGACTTTCAACATTTATACAAACTCCGTTCAGAGCTGTCAGAGCCATTATTTTTGCTGCATGGATCGAATAACCAGTGGTTTGAAGTGCTACAGACGAGTCCTTGTGGTGTCTGGTTCTACCTGACCTACCTCATACTGACATCCCTGCTGCTGATGCTGGTTGTAAGGTGGTACAAGGGAAGAGAGAGAGACGAGATTGCAGACTCACAGATGCTAGTGGAGAATGTGTACTACAAGTATAAGGAACAGCAAACACTAAACTAATGAAAAGCACTAAAGTGCAAACCCTCCGCGAACTGCACATGCGCGGTACCGCTAATTGATGGGCTGGGCTATTAGTGTGTGTTTCTGACGCTCTTTTAGTGGCCTTGGACACTCTCATGCGTTTCGTGGCTTGGTCAGACAAACTGCTTTTCTCTTACTTTGGAACACATGTTGGCAACATTTACACAGTTTTAGCTTTAGTGACACACTATATTGACATTGTGGGCAAACCTTGCTTGGAGGCATGATAGCCAGGGGAAATCGTAACTCACGGCACACACGGAGACGTCTTTCTCTTCCGGACGGCCATGTGGTCATAATATAATGCGCATGCTCGTTTTCCGCGAGTAAAAAATGGCCGGCGGAATGTACGCGAACTATGCTGGCAACACTCAGATCTCTGTAACGGAGCATTTTCAGAGAAAACCGCTCGATTAAACTGATTACGTCGTATCGTTTGTGGGACGAATAAACCATCGAGAAGTGAGTTGGAGCATCGACAGACAGACAGACAGACAGACCCAACTACAGTAACCCTCTCTGCGCATGCGCGCCAAGTAAAATCGTAACTCACGGCACACACGGAGACATTTCTCTTCCGGACGGCCATGTGGTCGTAATATAATGCGCATGCTCGTTTTCCGCGAGTAAAAAATGTCCGGCGGAATGTATGTGTACTATGCTGGTAACAGTCAGATCTCTGCAACGGAGCGTTTTCAGAGAAAACCGTTTGATTAAACTTATTCTTATTACCCGTATATTACGTCGTATCGTTTGTGGGACGAATAAACCATCGAAAAGTGAGTTGGAGCATGGACAGACAGACAGACACACAGACAGACCCAACTACAGTAACACTCGCTCCGCATGCGCGCCGAGGGTTAATAATGCAATGAAGCAGATACAAACATCCTTTTGGTATCACTCAAGAAGCAGAGTTTTGTGCAAAAACACGCAGGCACATATAGACTGTTATGAAGCGTACAGGGACACCTTGCACACCAACGTACACGGTACCTAGTTCTATTAGAGAGTCGGTAGACTCTCTATATAGGGATGGCACGGGTGAAATCTCACGTGATCCGCATACAAAACGACTAAAAACTCGGTTAGAATCACTCACTCCCTAGGCCTTCAAAACACACTAGGAATAGTGTACGGGCCCATATCTACCTTTATTGTAATTGTATTTTGCGTGGGCGAATCAAAGGCGCCGCCAGTACTATAATTATGCATCATACAGAACAGTTTTTGAATGAACTGTACTATAACACACGAACTGTACTGTATCAGCGGACTAGCGTACGCTATGCCGGAATGACGCCCTCGGCGGCCTTTTCGTAGACGGAGTTCGACTCAGACGGTGACACAAACAGCTGCTGGAAGGGCGCTCCGCGAGCTTCTCGTCTTCTCTTTCGTTCTGAACTTGCAAAAATTATTTTTTTATTTTTTATTTTTTATTTTTTACCCTAATACTCTAATTTTACAACCAAAAAAAAAACAGAGCAACTATACAGAAAACCAAAAAATATATACATAGAGCAATTATACAGTCACCAAAAATATATTTAAGAAGCAATAGAGAAAACAGTTCACGGCACTGTTGACACCTGGGACTCTGCGACCACCAGATCAACAGGAGTGGAAGCTACCGAAGCAACACGATTGGAGGAGGAGCGGGCACCCCTGATAGCGAGGATGGAGGCACGGAGAAGAGCAAAGGAGAGGCGGCATCGAAGCCAACACATGGTGGTGGAGTAGGGTTGGTTCCATTTTGACGAGAGCATTGAGGCAAGACGTTTGTACGTTGTTGTGGCAATGCGACCCAAACCACCAGTGACAGACAGAACGAGTGGAACAAAAGAAGCATGTTCAATTTCTCTGATTCTTTGCTCGTAGGCACGTTTCTTTACATTCTCATGATGGCGATAGCAAGTGGTAAGTTGGAGTCGACGGTTTGAAGGAGCGTGGGGATTAAAGACCCTGACATCAAAAAATGCTCTCTCAAATCTTCCCCCCCCAAAACCCATTTGCAGCTATGTCCAAGCGAGCACCATCACAAGCATTGGCAGATGCACCTCTCAAAACTTCACCATCAACTGGTTGAAGATGAGGTTCGGTGGAAACACTGTGGCAAACCTCGGACAAAAGATCAGCTGTGAGATCTCTAATTTCATTGTGCCTGATTGAAGGGTATCCTCCCATATGGCATGAGAGGGCGTGCGAAACGGAGAATGGCTGACCACATGCACAGTGAGATGGAACCATGGTAGGGCTCCATCCGTAACGGAGAGCGAGTGCATCACGGAAAGCTCCCTTGTGCAGGGTAAAGCCAAACTCCTCTATCGGCAAAGCTGTCAACCAACTGGAGGCACCATTTTCTTGTGCCAGACTCATAGAGAACTGGAGATGAGCTGGAAGGTTGGATTTAAGATGAGAAGCCTCTGTTACTTGTAGCTGCCGCTTTGATCTCCGAAGGTCGGATTTAGCTACAAGCTGTGCCTCGATTGCATACTCATAATTCTGTTGTATTATGAGGTCAGACAGGGGTTTAGTTACCTGTCTTGAGGCTAAGTACTCTGAAGTTGAAACCTTCGTGGGATTGGCAATGGCAATACCACCCAGTCGGCAGGGCAGTGCGAAGAGTCTCCTCTCAATTTCATTTGGAGGAGATCTTCCTGTTAAGGTTGGTAAAAAGGAGCAGCGAATGGTATCCTCTAGAGGTTGAAGTAACGCCTCTAAGTCTGGAATGGTTCTTGAAATGTAGGTCCATTTACTGGACAAACCATGGATAAAGGCGGAGTACGCTGCATGTGGCTGAGTGTGCGCGATGGCAGATAGGTGTTTTACTTCCTCCAACCATTGCTGCACTTTTCTTTTGACATACTCCTGGACAAATGCTTCTGTTCCCAGAGCTGCTCCCAGATGTGGTTTACCTTCTGTGGTAATACAAACATTTGTGTTTTCAAAACTTTTGATCGCATCCGACAGGTGACATTCTTTGACGATAAGGGATGTCTTGGAGGCGTTCACAAAATAGCCATAGTCTGGACCAAAACTGACCAGTTTGTCCCACCATTGTCGTAGGTGTTTTAACTGACCAGCAGCTGTGGCATCGTCAGCATACCAAACCTGCTTCACATCACAGCTAACTTTCTGAATGAGTGGGACGATGCCAACCGCATACATGGACATGGCTAATGGATCTCCCTGAGTCGTCCCTTCCTGGGAGAGCAGAGTACTTCCATCCATGTAGAGATTCGATGGTTTCCTATAGGTATTGATAAGGATGGTAGCAAGTGAAGGGCAAAGGTGTCGAATGTTCCGTAGGGCGACCTCACGGTTGAGGCAATTGAATGCATTTCTAGCATCAACAAGCAGCACTGCTTCAGTGTCAGCATCATGGTAAGCCTCATTCACGGCATTAACTGCTGCCTCTATGCCAGATGTCTGTCCTGAGCAGAGCTGAAGTGAACCAGCTGCCTCCTGGATATCCCCACCAATGACCGACAAGACAGCCTTGGAGACAATACCCACCAGAGTCTGCACGCGACGTTACGCGAGCCTTGCGGGGCGCTCAAATGGGCCTTCATTGCTTGTCCCCCCCAGGTTGTAGCCTATTACCAAAGCCTGTCCATGAAACCGCAACCATGTGCAATTACATCCTTAAGACAATACATGAGGTGAATGTGGTATCCAGCCCCTGCTTCAGGCACCAGCAGCCCATTATCTATTGCTTTCAACAGTTAGAGTTTGTCTATGGTAGCCTATGTACAACATACCCATGACAATAAAATGCACTGTTGTCATAAGCTGTTAAAAATAGTGGAAACAAGTGGAAAAATCATTTCTTTCAGAATGAAGGGGGATAGCGATGGCTTGAAGCACCAAAAAGGAAGAAACAAAGGGTCATTACACAGCAAAGATGCACAAAGCTACATGACACCATCCCTATATCTTTGTTTTATTGTTTATAAGCAAAGTTTAATATCGAACAAAGAAATAGGGATGGTGTCATGTAGCTTGTGTTGCATCTATAGGTATGTACATAGTTAGCGCTTCTGTGCCAGAAAGGGCGTCACAGACAGAAGGACAAACCTACTGCAACCCTCGCTGTGCTGTCCCCTGTATAGTTGACTTGTTTGCCTCTACCTCGCTACCAAGTTGTTGAGACATGCAGCCCGAGGGTTAATAAGTACTTTTTGCAAGATCTGTGTCAGGATTGCATTTTACACTAGAAAGAGTGTAGGAAGGAGTAGTAGTAGTTTAGAAACATGTGCAGCAGGCAGCATAAACAATTGTTGAAAGTTTCACCGATCTTTTGTGGGAAGGTTTATACATTATCTTCGACTCATTTTCTGCCACTTTCGATAGTGATGGATATGTTTACCAAACGTGCATATTATAAAATCCTCAGTTCTCTGAAATAGAATGCAAATACACACATCACAAACATCGAAAACAAAAGATCAGTGAAACCAATAACAGGTATTTACTCTAGCAGTATAATAATATTATATACATGTAGTAGAGTTGTCAAGGTCGCGATTGAGCCTCAGAATATTTAGAACCGCAGAGAAGATTGCATACTGTATGCTGCAAGGCAGTTGCCACTCAATCATAATCCCCAAAATTCCTCCAACTTCAAGGTCACTTGATTGTTGTGTACCAATAGAATAATGGCGACTTGTGTTGGAGAGAAGGAAGGAATCAGCATGAGAGAATCGTGTTCTGGTGACGATGTCACAGTAACGGAGTCATCTCCAGGAGGAGTCCAGGAGAGCAACATATGCAGAGTCAGACACACCAGCAGACGGAGGAAGTGGAGACATCGTAGCATTGGTTCACGCAGCCTCTTGCTCATTCTGGCATGGGAGTTTATCATTTGCTGCTCACTAGGCTTCACCTCAATACAATGAAGCAATACAAGTCGAATTTGAGTCCAGAGAAGAAGGAAAATCCAGCCTTTGTGTGGCTGGTGGAGCCCAAATATGCCCTAGTCATTTCCAGTGTTTCTTTCATCTCATTTCCAATAGCAAGTCTTCTAGCAGAAGTCGTCATTGGTCGATACAAACTTGTAAGCTACACTCCGAAAGGGATTTGGTTGCTCTCCATCGTTGGTAATGTTTTAACACTATGTGGAAAGACTTTACGTGTGGCAGACAGTATGCAATACAATATCCACCTTATAATTTTGCTGCTACAAAACGTGCTCCTGGGAGCGTACTCATCCAGTGCTATTCCACTAGGAATAGACCAGACTTCTAGTAGATCTGACGTTAACATTTCTGCCTTCATATTATGGCTAGTCTGGGCATTTTTTGTGGCCTCGTTGTTCATCCTACTGTAGCATCAGTACTTTATAATTGCACACATTTTCAGACAAGTGAAGTCAGTATGGTGATGTCACTGCTGCCAGTCCTGCTGCTCTCTGTGGGACTCATTTTGGACTTTCATTTCCACCACAAACTGGTGAAAGAGCCAGTGACTGTCAATCCAGTGAGTCTTATTTTCAAAGTCTTGAAATATGCAGCAAAGCACAAGTATCCAGTTCAGAGAAGTGCCTTCACATACTGTGAAAATGAACGGCCAACAAGACTGGACTATGGCAAGTCGAAATATGGTGGACCTTTCACCACAGAGCAAGTGGAGGATGTTAAGACCTTCTGGAGAGTTCTGGTTGTCATTGTGGTTATTGGATTATCTGCTGTAACATTTATTTGGTTCAATATGAATCGCAACCGGCCATGGAAGAAAGCTTTGGTTTATTACACCTCAAAGAAAATTCCGTTCCCTGTGTTGCACCCCAACAACTAATATCTATGTCCAGCATCATGGTCACTATTCCACTTGTGGTGCGCATGAGCAGACAAACGGACAACGTGGTTAACTGGATATATAACTCTCTAGAACTGTCAGCAGTTTCAGTCGTGCTCATTTTCGGTTGGTGTACGTTGTGTCTCTCTACGTGTATTGTCGTCGTAATAATTATCATAACTCGACATTGGTGACCAACGACGTGAGCTACATGTCTGTCGAACGCGAAGCAGGAGCCGTGGCCGCCCTAAATCTCAAAATACTGCCCTTCTGGCCGTCCGACCCGGATCTGTGGTTCGCGCAAGTTGAGGCTCAGTTCTCCACCCGCGGCATAACTTCACAGAAAACAAAGTATGAGCACGTGGTAGCCTCTCTCTCGCCCGAATTTGCGACCCAGGTCCGGGACCTCATCCTCCGCATCCCAGACACGACACCGTACGACACGCTCAAACGCCAACTCATCACCCGCACCGCCCTCCCAGAACAACGGCGCCTCCAGCAGTTTACTCAGCTCCACCGAGTTGGGAGATCAGAGACCCACGCAACTTCTCCGTGGCATGCAACAACTGCTGGGAGGCGGTGCTGCGGACGCCGACGCGAAACTCCTTCGCGAGCTATTTCTCCAGCGTCTCCCTGGCAATGTCCGTATGGTCTTAGCCTCCTTCGGCGACACGAAAACACTCGAGGAACTCGCGGAACTCGGAGACAACATCATTGCAGCTGGCCCACCGGGGGTTTCAGGTGTCACTCAACCTGAGCCATCACGCGAGGTTGAAGAACTCCGTTCAGAACTATCCCAACTCCGCGACAGAGTCTCCGCCCTCTCCACATCCACCAGGACACGTTCCCCCTCTCCTCGCCGTCGTCCCTTCCGACCCCGGTCACCGCCTCCACACCCGCCTCCCACCTACATGTGCTGGTACCACGCGCGCTTCGGTGCCCGTAAATGCACACCCCCTGCTCCTACTCGGGAAACGGGAAGGCCAGTACGTAGACGCGGCAGACGTAGCTGGCCCTCATCTCTGTCGCTTATTCTATATCACAGATCGCAACCACGGCCTTCAGTTTCTCATCGACACAGGCGCCCAAGTAAGCGTGGTTCCACCCTCTCCGAAGGACAGACCCTCCCCCAACCCCCTCACTCTTCAAGCCGTCAACGGTACCACCATCCGTACCTATGGTACTCGATCCCTCACCCTGAACCTCGGCCTTCGACGCACCTTCCGCTGGATTTTCGTTGTTGCCGACATTGCCAATGCAATCATCGGCGCTGATTTCTTGCAACACTTCAGTTTGATGGTTGACATGAGTAAACGCCACCTCGTAGACTGTGTCACTAACCTGATGGTGCAGGGAATCCAAGCCACATCAAACTCCCCGAGTCCATCCCCTCTCCCCAAAGCACCCTCCACACCCTTCGATGCTGTTCTTCTCGAATTCCCCGCAGTCTCCCTCCCGCCCGCTGGCACGCTGCCAATCAAATACCGTGTCACTCATCACATTCCAACTAATGGCCCCCAGTCTCGGCCAAACCCGACGTCTCTCCCCAGAACGCCTGAAAATCGCCCGCCAGGAGTTCGACACATGCTCGAGCTCGGAATCATCCGACCGTCGTCAGCAATTGGTCCTCTCCCTTACACATGGTGCCCAAGAAATCGGGAGACTGGCGCCCATGTCGGATTACCGGGCGCTTAACCATGCCTCCGTCCCAGACAGATATCCCATCCCACACATACAGGATTTCTTCTCCATTTCCCTCAACGGCACCAACATCTTCTCCAAAATCGACCTCATCCGCGCCTACCACCAGATACCAGTTGAGCCACAGGACGTCCCAAAAACAGCAGTATTACTCCGTTTGGTCTTTTCGAGTTCTTGCGCATGCCATTCGGCCTCCGCAATGCTGCACAAACATTCCAACGCTTCATCGACCAGGTCCTGCATGGGTTACCCTTCTGCTACGCTTACATAGACGACCTCCTCGTTGCCAGTTCATCCCCTGAAGAGCATCGGCAGCATCTTCGGCAAGTGTTCCAACGTCTCTCTGAACATGGCATCATCATTAACCCTTCCAAGTGCAGGTTCGGAGTGTCAGAGCTAGAGTTCCTTGGACACACTGTTAGCTCCCAGGGTATCCGACCATCCGACACAAAGGTTAAGCCATCACTGATTTCCCCATGCCAATGTCGCTGCCGGAAATTACGTGAGTTCCTGGGGCTTGTCAACTTTCATCATCGTTTCATTCCACATTGTGCCTCCATTTTAGGGCCACTCAACAACCTGCTTGCCACGCCCCACGGAAAAGATCGCACACTTGAGTGGACCGAGGCTGCTACAACCGCTTTCATCAACATCAAGGAGGCGCTCGCTACCGCCACCCTACTCACCCACCCCAAGCCATTCGCGCCGACATGTGTTATGACTGATGCCTCAGATACAGCTGTGGGTGCAGTCCTGCTACAGCAGATCGATGACGACTGGCAACCGATCGCATACTTTTCAAAGAAGCTCCGACCAGCAGAAACACGTTACAGCACTTTTGATCGCGAACTCCTAGCAATATACCTGGCAATCAAGCACTTCAGACACTTTGTGGAAGGTCGTGAATTTTACATCGCCACCGACCACAAACCACTGACCTTTGCCCTCTCAACTGCCTCCAGTAACTCCATTTTCCACCTTCAAAACCCCTGATTCCAGATTTGATCAAATACATATCGACATTGTCGGCCCCCTTCCCCCTTCCCACGGACACCTCTACTTGCTCACGTGTATCGACCGCTTCACTCGATGGCCTGAGGCCTTCCCAATGCCAGACATGACTGCAGACACTGTAGCTCTAACGTTCACTTCCGGTTGGATTGCACGTTTCGGAGTGCCATCGACAATCACCACCGACCGTGGTCGGCAATTTGAGTCACGGCTATGGTCCAAACTTCTCCAACTCCTCGGCTGCAAGCACCTCCGCACAACCGCCTACCACCCAATCGCGAACGGGATAATTGAACGTTTTCACCGGCAACTTAAATCCGCTCTCAAGGCCCACTCATCCTCCTCACACTGGATTGAGACCCTTCCGTTGGTCGTACCGCCCTCAAGACCGACCTACAATGTAGCGCTGCAGAGCTAGTGTATGGGAGGACACTACGTCTACCAGGTGAATTTTTCCTTCAAGACACCATCACCTGCTACTGGCGACAGTTCAACGTTACTTACTGCCCTCAACACCGCAATGCGCACACTGAGAGCTGTTCCACCCAGAGCGACGTCACAGCCATACACCTATGTCCACAAAGATCTTTCGACTTGCACTCATGTCTTTGTCCGCACAGACGCAGTCCGCAAACCTCTTCAATCCCCCTATGAAGGCCCCTTTAAAGTGCTAAAACGGGACTCCAAGTACTTTACACTGCAACTGAATGGTCGCACTGACAAAGTTTCCCTGGATCGTCTGAAGCCAGCTCATGTGGACAGTTTACCCGGACCACAGCCCGCCACACCACCTCCTGCACCTTCTCTCACCTCCGCCAACACTACACCAGCAAGGACCACACGTTCATGACGACGAGTCCATTTCCCAGACCGTCTCATGAGCATCGTTCCCTAACCTGTCACTGAGTGATGTGGTGCGCATGAGCAGACAAACGGACCACGTCGTTAACTGGATATATAACTCTCTAGAACTGTCAGCAGTTTCAGTCGTGCTCATTTTCGGTTGGTGTACGTTGTGTCTCTCTACGTGTATTGTCGTCGTAATAATTATCATAACCCGACACACTGTATGAGCTACTCATCTACCCATGTCTGAGAAACCGAGGTCCCAGCATCCTCCAGTCTGCGGGAATTGGAGCTGCAGCTCTCATTGTTACTTCATTGTATGGAATGGTGACAGAGACGATTCTGTTTGATGGTAATACTGGGTGTATGTTTGTACAAAACAGCCATAATGCAAGTGAAATAGGAATTTTGATTAACATTCCTTTCCAATTGATCCTGCCATTCACAATAGTAGTGCTACTAAAAACTGGCACTGAGTTTGTATGTGCACAGGCACCATACAATATGAAGGGCTTTCTGATAGGACTTTTCTACACAACAATGACTTTCTTCATAGTCCTTGGAACACTCCTATTTTTGGTATGGAGCAACAAATGGTTTCCAATACTCCACACCAGTACATGTGGTATCTGGTTCTACCTGAGCACACTAGTACTGGCAGTGGTGTCATCTGCTCTACTGGGCTTGGTCATACGATGGTATAAGGCAAGAGAGAGAGATGAAATTACAAGATCTCAAGATTTAGTGGAGGAAGTATACCACAAGTACCAGGAACAAGCATCACAAGAATGAAATGTAATGAGCCGCAATACAAACATTTGCGATTTAAAAAAACTGTTTTATGGTGTTGTATACATACGTAGTAGCTAATAGTGTGACTATTTTCAGCCAGTTCCATCATCAAAAATTTAAATGGAGTTTTCAGACAACATTATCATGCTGTGCGTAGCTAATCAGGCAGTGAGACAAGATAGAGATGGGATTTAGGAACATGGTTTACAAACAGATTGATACCCCCGAGTCCATCACACAATCCCTATATTGTTGCCTTGGTGAAGTATGAGACATTATGTTTCATCAGGAGCTATAGTACGAGATATGTGCCATTCTGTGGTGCAACCATTCCCATATTGAGAGTGGCACAACAGGCAACAATATAGGGATTGTGTAATGGGGCTGGGGGTACCAGGGGCCACACTGATCTAACATTATGCCACTGATACAGTAACATGTGGGCATGCACAGTAAAAAAACCCCTACCTCATTTTGTTTTCGAGTGAAAAGTGAAATGAAAGCGATGCCATTTCATCCTAAATGCACACTATGTCTTCAAAACAACGTGGCTCAGTTTTCTAAAGAGCAAGTGCCTCTTTTTCAATATCAAAACGCATTACAGAGTGAGTAGCAACTATATAGAAATGAAAAGCACTAAAGTGCAAACCCTCGGCGCATTGTGACGCGCACGCGTAAGTAAACGCATGCGCCGTACCACTAATTGATGGACTGGGTTTAGTTTTAGCTGTTACTCGTGGTCTCTTGCCAGCTCGCGCAGAGTCTGACGCGGGCTAACTACACTACTAGATAGCATGCGAGAGGCGATACACGCCCTGCGTTGCATCTTCTGGTGCCTCTGAGGTACGCAGAGCACGCGGATCGCTCAGACCGTGGTAAGCCATCCCGTCCGTTGTGTATTTGCAATTGGCTTTTTCGCGCTCTAGCTTTGGAACGGAGCAGTTTCAGAGAAAACCGCACATATATTCTGACCTTCATTTCCCGTTAAGTAGGTCGTCATCCTTTGTGAGACGAACAAACAGCCGAGAAGTGAGATGAAGAGTAACAGACAGACACACACACACACAGACAAACCCAACCCTCGCTGCGCATGCGCGCCGATGGTTAATTAAAGTGCAAACCCTCAGCGAACTGCGCAAGCACGGTACCGCTAATGGATGGGCTGCTGGGCTATTGGCGTTCACCCGCTAGTAGCTCGTGGAGAGTCTACGGTAGTAGATAGCATGCGGGAGAGGCGATACACGCCCTTCGCTGTGGCTTCTTGTGCCTCCACGGAGCAGGTCGTGGTGAGCCAGCACACATACACCACGTTGATCGCGTCTAAATATATGCATGTGCACCGCTTATTGATGGGTTAGGCTACGCAACGCGGTCCGCGACCGTGCCAGTTCGTCGCTCTCGAACGCAGTCGTTTCAGCAAAATAGCCATTTTTATTTTCTAGCCCTTGTACCACTAAAGCTGTTGGTATCGCTCATAAGCCGCCTCGTAGCCTGTAGTGCGAGAATAGTCGTAGTCAGACCGACACACACTCACACAGACACTCCAGAACGACTAAACGTAACCCTCGCTGCGCATGCGCGCCAAGGGCAATTCATCAAAACTTGTAATGGCCAGTTACTGCTAACCTTGAAGGCACGTTTAAAGCTCAAAAAATGGCGTCAAAGGGTTGTGAAGATGAAAGCATCACTATTATAAGAGGTTCTGGAGTTGAGAACATTCAGAGAGAATCTCAGAGGGTTAGCAGGTCTAAAAGCAGACTCAGGAGAAGGTGGCCTTGTCACATTTATTTAGAAGAGGGATCTATTACACTAACACAATGGCGAGCCATACGGCCACAACTATATTGACTCTTGCAGTAATCCCCTGTCCCATAGTTAGTCTCCAAGCAGAGGTGGTTATCAGTCGATACAAACTTGTCAGCTACTCTCTTAGCATTATATCAGCTATCATCACAGTATGTGGAGAGAGCCTACCTATGTCAAACTCAACACTGTATATGATCCTGCTTTTTCTAGTGGTATTACCACAGTCATTGTTTATTGGGGGATACTTTGCTACTGCAGTTCCACTATATAGGAATAGATCAAATTAATGGTGGATCAAATGGCAACATTTCATCTATCATTCATTGGCTTTTCTGGGCAAATTTTGGTTTTAGGGTTAATTGTCGAGCGCGTTAGCGTGAGGCAACTACTCCAGGTTGTATTCTCGCGATATGCGTAAGTACGTACGTTTGTGTCGGTCACGCTTAAGAATGTCAATTAGTCACGCTTAGGGAATGCCGATTAGTCACGCTTAGGAATGTCAATTAGTCACCAAAATGAAGTGTAACTTCCGTAATTCGTAGGAAGTCTAGCTTCCGCCGTGCGCGCAGATTCGTAGGAAGTCTGGCTTCGCGCGCAGTCAGTAGAGCGCGCGCACGAGCGGCCTCAGTCGGACTGTTTACGCATTGGCTGGCAGGCGCGAGGCAAAATATGCACGTGCGCATTCCAAGTAAGTAATTTTTACAACATCTGTGTCAGGATTGCAAGAAAGAGGGTAGGAGGGAGTAGGATTTAGAAACGTTTGCAGCAATACAAGTCGAATTTGAGTCCTGGAGAAGAAGGAAAATCCGCCTTGGTGGCTGGAGGAGCCAAAATATGCCCTGGTATTTCCAGTGTTTCTTTCAATCTCATTCCAATAGCAGTTTCTAGCAGAAGTCGTCATTGGTCGATACAAACTTGTAGTCACTCTGAAAGGGATTGGTTCTTCTCCATTGTTGGTAATGTTTTAACACTATGTGGAAAGACTTACTGGTGAGAAATATGCATACAATATCCACCTTATAATTTTGCTGCTACAATACGTGCTCCTGGGAGCGCACTATCAGTGCTATCCACTAGGAATAGACCAGATTTCTAGTGATCTGATGCTAACATTTCTGCCTCATACTATGGCTAGTCTGGACATTTTTTAGTGTCTGTGTTCAGTCTATTGTAGCACAGTTACTTACAATTGTACACATTTCACACAAGTCAAGTTAGTATGGTGATGTCACTGCTGCCAGCCTACTGCTCTCTGTGGGACTCATGGGACCTTCTGGAGAGTCCTGGTTGTCATAGTGGTTATTGGAATATCTGTTGTAACATTAATGCACATATCGGCTCACTATGAATCACAAACGGCAATGGAAGAAAGCTTTGGTTCATTAACACCTCAAAGAAAATTCGTTCCTGGTGTTGCACGCCAACTACCAATATGTATGTCCAGCATGATGGCCACTATTCCACTGTATGAGCTACTCATCTACCCATGTCTGAGAAACCGAGGTCCCAGCATCCTCCAGTCTGCTGGAATTGGAGCTGCATCACCTCATTGCTTCTTCATTGTATGGTGTGCTGACAGAGGCGATTCTGTTCGATGGTAATACTGGGTGTATGTTCATACAAAACAGCCATAATGCAAGTGCAATGAGAATTTTGATTAACATTCCTTTCCAATTGATCCAGGCATTCGCAATAGTAGTGCTACTAAAATCTAGCACTGAGTTTGTATGTGCACAGGCACCATACAATATGAAGGGCTTTCTGATAGGACTTTTCTTCACAACATATTTCTTCGTAGGCCTTGGAACACTCCTATTTTGGTATGGAGCAACAAATGGTTTCCATACTCCACACCAGTACATGTGGTATCTGGTTCTACCTGAGCACACTAGTATTGGCAGTGGTGTCATCTGCTCTACTGGGCTTGGTCATACGATGGTACAAGGCAAGAGAGAGAGATGAAATCACAAGATATCAGGATTAGGTGGAGGAAGTATACCACAAGTACCAGGAACAAGCAGCACAAGAATATTATGCCACTATATACGTCAGTAACTGTGGGCATGTAAAAACTAACCATGTGAGTGCCAAGAGAAAAAAGATGTGGAGCTCTGGACAGCTGTTTCGGGCTTGTTGGCCCTCATCACCAGAGCATACTGCAACTTCTCTCTCTGGCACCACCAGTTTATAAAGGCTACCAGCAGCGCAGCACTTGTGGTTCTGAACTAATGAGATTCATCCCCACAAGTCTTTGCCACTGGTATGTGCTGCTGACCATGCCCAGACATTCGTGGTTGCATGCACAGTAAAAAAAAACCTCCTCGTTTTGTTTTCCAGTGAAAAGTGAACGAAGGTGATGCCGCTTCATCCTAAACACACACTATGTCTTCAAAACAACTTAGCTCAGTTTCATAAAGAGCAAGTGCATATTTTCAGGATCAAAACGCATTACAGAGTGAGTAGCAACACTATAATATAGAAAATATGTTGGAAAACGGCCAAGGAACGGTTATAACATAAGACATTTCACCAAAACTAATAATTGGGGCCAGTTACTGCTATGTGTGTGAAGACACATTTAAAGCTCAAAAATGGCGTCAAATGGTTGTGAAGATGAAAGCATCACTATTATAAGAGGTTCTGGAGTTGACAGCATTCAGAGAGAATCTCAGAGGGCTAGTAGGTCTAAAGGCAGACCTGCTCAGGAGAAGGTGGCCTTGTCGCAGCATTGGCTCCAGCAGCCTGCTACTCATTATCGCCTGGGAGTTTCTCATTAGCTGTTCAGCAGGCTTCACATTTATCAATGGCTAGCCATACGACCACAACTACATTGACTCTTGCAGTAATCCCCTGTCCCCATAGTTAGTCTCCTAGCAGAGGTGGTTATCAGTCGATACAAACTTGTCCAGCTGCTCTCTGAAGGCAATGTGGCTACTTAGCATTATTTCAGCTACTATCACAGTATGTGGAGAGAGCCTACCTACGACAAACTCAACACTGCATATGATCCTGCTTTTTCTAGTGGTATTACCACAGTCATTGTTGAATGGGGGATACATTGCCACTGCAGTTCCTGGAATAGATCAAAATAATGGTGGATCAAATGCCAAACTTTTAGTCTTAGGGTTAATAGTTCTTTTGCAAGATCTGTTTGCAAGAAAGAGTGTAGGAAGGAGTAGCTTTAGAAACGTTTTGCAGCATAAACACTTTG